CAGCCTCGGGGGCGCGCACTAGAGGGAAGAACCTAGTCTCTGCATTTTTCCTCCACTCCCTTGACTCTGCATCTTGGCTCCTAAAGCCGAGGATAGAGGTTTAACAAGTTCAGGATCTCTTGGGAGCCTTTCCCTTCTCCCAGGTCTTGTTAGACACCCTGTTTACCTGCCCCTAATTGCCCCAGGGGGAGACGTTTGCTCCTTCCCCGCTACCCCACCTCCTGTCCTGTCCCCTGCAGACACTGAAGGCTGAGTTCCACAGACCTGGGGAGCCGGGGCGCTGTAGAAGTGAGAAGATTTGGGATGCACCCACCGGGAGGGTCGAGTTAGGGGGTAATAACTGTAGAAGAACTGTGAGGACCTTTCTGCGAGGGAAGTGAGAAGCAACAAGGGAATACAATGGAGGGAAGAATGGAGAACTCCCTGAAGGAGCAGGGCACGACCCAGTCCCCAGATGTTAGTCCACCCTCCCCTCCCCGGGAGCGGAGCGCAGGAGGGGTTGGGGGTAGCCCTGGAGGCGGGGTTAGCTGTGATTCTCTGCTGGGGCCTATGTGCACCTCCCCTTCACTGCTGGGCTAAGTAGGATGACAGATTCAATTAAAGAGGCTGTGCCTAACAGACAGGTCGGGTCTCCTAGGAGTTATGGTTTGGGATTCCTGGCACCCAGCCTTCGGCTCTCTATCCACCAGATACAAATGGACACAGCTAACTTGCCATCAGGCTTTGACCTACATGACCAGGTTGGGGAGTGGGCATTTCTGAAGCTTTTCTGCCACCAATCACAGGGATAGGTAAGAGGTGGCTTCTTTTCCTGTGGTCACACAGCAACCACTTAATATGCTCAACCCACCCTCGTGAGGAAACTGAGGTACCACCTGTGGGAATACCTCTGGAGTTGACTTGCTCCCTGTCGTAATGGGGTGTGTGGCTGGAGGAATGGGGCAGCTACAGGGAGGGGCTGCTTCAAAATCAGACTGGGTACCTGGGTGAGTGAGTTTGAAGGAACAAGGCTCCAGGGTAGCTACCCGGCTGCTCTAGGCCTGGCACCCTGTGCTGGCTGGCTGGCTGGCTGGCTGGCTGGCGGCCCCTTCCCCAAGACCTTAGGGGAGGAACAGGAGTCTGTGGGGTTGGGATGGACATACAATGCATGGGTGGTGACTGGAAGCAACCAGGCCTTGTCTAACCCGTTTTCCTGCTCTCGGCGCTCGTCGAGACTCCTGCCCACCTGAGTGCCAGGGACAGGGAGGGGCCCGAGTGACCCATCACTCCCATGGGAACCAAGTGGGACTGGTGGCATTCCTGATGACTCAAGAAGGCTGTGCCCGTTCTTACTGGAGCGTCCTAACACCAGCTGTTACCCGTCTGCCTCATTGGTAGTTCTGAGGAGGGGGCAACACAAGTATATCCAGTGATGTTAGGTAATGTCAGGAGGACCCTCCCGGCCTCATCCAATGGAGAGGTCTCCAAGCTCATTTCCCTGATATGTCTGATTGCTGTTTGTGGAACAGGACAGTGCCTGGTGACATGGAGAGCCAGTTCCTCCCCTCAGGGGGTTCCCAGGGACCCCAGTGGTTTGTTGTTTCACCAGGTAACCCATTGTACTTCTGCATCACTGCATACTTGCCCTAAGAAGTTAAAGGAAACTTCTGCCAGCTCCTGCACACTTCTACACTGAGGCGTCTCTGTCATCCCACACCATTCTGTGTTACTGCTCAGGATGTTCAGGTCAACACTTAGATGGGGACTAACAGGCAGGTTGGGGGGGGGAGTCCTGGGGACCCAGTATCTGCTTCCCTGTCCCAGAAACTCCTCTGGAAAGTGACAGACACAGTTGGCTTGTCTGGCCCTATGCTCCCAATGCTGTCTAGCATTATCACTGTGTGTGTGTGTGTGTGTGTGTGTGTGTGTGTGTGTGTGTAGTGGTATCTAAGAGGAGACAGGCATTGTGAAATGAGACAGAAATCTTAGCATGATCACAGGTAGGGCCTTGATGATGAACTCTTCAGTCCCCTGATCTGTGTCAGATTACTAGGGACTTAATGGTCCATGGTCTCAGGGTGGAGGTAAGTGGGACTTAAAAGCACAAAGGCAGAGGTCCTGCCTTGTAGGGAATACAGGGGGGAGCTCTGAGATTATTGGGGCCGGCTAATACTGGCATAGGCTCAGCACACATGCAATCTAGCTTTTGTGAGTATCTGCCGCCCATGAGTGGGCGGTGGACATTTTTGTGTTTGTGCCATAGAACCTGTGCATGTATGTGCATGAAGCTGCCATACATGCGTGTATGAGGGCAAGTCCTGTCGGACTGGCCTGGGGGGGTGGACCTGCCGCAGCAAGAGGCATTCTGGGAGAATCGATCAGAGGGTTTGTGTTCCAAGGAAGGGGTCTCTCTACTTTCGCTCTTCGTTTCTATTCCTCGGGCCTGGTGTATTATGGGGAATGGACTGAGGAAATCCGGGCCTGGGTCTTGGAGTCGTTGGGGCCTGCGCTGTTTCTGTGGCAACCAGAGCTAGGTTCCTTCTTTCCTCCGCCCCTCTCCCTCTCTTCCTTAGGAGGTAGGCCAGCCTTCCTTGTGCCTTTGCTACCCTCTGGTGGCCACCAGGAGAAGGACGGGCCAGAAAGGAGAGGACACAGTAAAGGGGACTGGTACACAGGACTCTGGGGACAGAAGGGGGCCTGAGAAAAGATTGTAGAAAAAGCCAAGAGTCTGGGGACTGAATTCTTATGATTTTTATGGTCAAAACACACTATGTATATGAACTAAAATGTCCTGATGAAGGTCTGCGAAGTGGTGACACGGGAAAGCCTTGGAGCATTGGGGTTTCTTCTTTGACCCGCTGCATTTGTTTACAGCCTTCGGCGAGAGGGCTACACGGTGCAGGTGAACGTGAACGACTATCTCGATATTTACTGTCCGCACTACAACAGCTCAGGGCCTGGCGGCGGGGCGGAGCAGTACGTGCTGTACATGGTGAACCTGAGCGGCTACCGCACCTGCAACGCCAGCCAAGGCTCCAAGCGTTGGGAATGCAACCGGCAGCATGCCTCGCACAGCCCCATCAAGTTCTCCGAGAAGTTCCAGCGCTACAGCGCCTTCTCGCTGGGATATGAATTCCATGCCGGCCAAGAATACTACTATATCTGTGAGTGCCGGGTCCTCGGTCTTGTGAGTGACAGGGTAGGGTTCCGGGGATCCCCGGCCGGTCACCAGGGATAAGGAAGGCTTCGGAGTTTCCTCTCTAAGGGGTTGTAAGGATGGAGCATAGGGGTTGGTGACAGCCGTAGATTTGGGCTTCAGAGCATTTTTCTTACGGGCACTTTGAGTTGGACTGGCTACAGAGCCGTGGTGACCACCGTCCGAAGAATGGAGCAGTTACTCCAGGACATACCTGGATGCAGACAGGCTGGGGGGGGGGGGGGGGGGGGGGGCGTGTGCG